CTGTGGATTTCTAAATGCCCAAACCAAAATAGGTCGATAGCATTTGTTTAAATGTTTACTACAGTATTTGAATATCTTTCCAATTAGTATCTGACCTCCTGCGTCATAAAATTTATGAAGCCCCATCATTAAAGTATGTTGGAACTGCTTTCGTAGATCCCTGGTGAGACATATAGTTTCAACTGGGCAAGGCGCAGAAACTTGGTCAGCTAGTAATTAATCAAATTCATTGTAGAACAGGCATAGTATAAAAGAAACGTAGCGTACACACGTAGATGTTAAAATTTCAAAAAAATTTCATAGCGACTCAAAGCGCCTTGAAATACTCGCGCCATCTATCAAACACTTGACACGTTCAGTAAAACCAGATTACAATGATTGTTTTATCTCAAAAAAATAACACAATAATCTCGCTGGATTTCTTAACACAGTTCTTGTCGTCTAGGATAATTTGGATGTTTGATAATAACTATCTAAACGTAATGCTAACTGCTAGAAGATGACGCAATTCCTCAGATAGTAAAAAGCTAGATGTATCGTTGAAAAAGTCATTCTTGTCTTTCCCCTGTCAAAAAAACTGTTACAACTTGCTATCGAAGCAAAACATTACATTATTCATAGCATAGTAAAAGTCCTTATGTATGTATACAATGTGCACGATAGTAGCAAACCGTATCTAATTAATGTTTAACTTACTAATTCCTTGTTAATTATAAATTAATTATAATACTTACTGTTTGCATAATTCATAACCTACTTTACGCAAATTGAATTCTATTATTGTCTGTTTATCACGAATTGTCAATTCCTATCTCCTTGGAGTTTGTTTTAGTTATATTGATTCCCGAAAATTAATTTAATAAAACGGTTTTAAAATGCGAAATATATTAAGAAACTTTTTAATTAATTTTACTATTGTCTGATTTTTCGGATGTTTTGCAGCAGTCGTGGTCATGATAGGTCATAAAATTTCGGGCCTTAGCTAATGAATAAATTTAACTATTATTTATCGCGTTTTAAACCTTTTAAAGTGTTTTATTTAAAATTGTATTACGAGCGTTAACAACGGCCTGTATTATCTTCATATAATTTCCAAATTTGGAGTCCATGATATTCTGAAATGTTATAACAATATCTATTCTAAGTAAGGTATCCTATCTTTCGTTTGGAGTGGAACAGTCTGATCCCGGGATGCCTTTCAAATGGAAATTGCCAATTGAGGTTGTTTTTAGGGGGTGTTATCACCCTTCTAATATAGGGATTCACCAGCATAGAAGTCAGAGTTTCTCCAGCCCCACACTCCGTTTATGCAGAGCATTGTTCTCATTAACCATACTTAAAATATCCTCACTCGTGTCTTCAAATCCTTAATTTTTAACTTTAATTTAATACTGAAACTGAATTTATCTGCTATTTTTTTAACTTGGTATCTTATCATTGCATGTAACATATTTATTTACCACATCACTATCAGATCTGTACATATTTGTATTCTTTCTCGCTGCTCTAATTATTATATTTCTCAGTAAATCCATGATAGAATTGTGCACAGCCCACTTACCTATATTTAGTATTTGTTCTGTGCAAATCATAGGTTTTTGAGCTTAGCGATGCAAATGTTTTGATGCTATTGCATATTGAATCTCGAGAATAAGAGGAGTGGCGGCGAGTTTCTTGCCAGATCTTCTTCTAAGTCACAAATTCGGGGACGTATAAATATTTTTTGTTTTTATTTTCTTCCTTTTTTTTCATTCTGTAGGTTCATACTTGATGGGCTCGTTGGTATTATGGTATCAATGTAAGGCTAATAATCTACGGGTCGTGGGTTCGATTTTCACCGTGACCAAGATGTTTCTAAACAATTTATAAATTTCCTGAAACATGTTAGACTCGGTCGGAAACCTGGATTTTAAATAGGTAGGAATATCGAGATTCCGGCCGGGTCGCGAACTACCGTCCACAGAAAAAAGTCGTGAAGCTTAATTGCGTTTCGGATTTAATATATGGATTTCCGTGTATCCAAAGCCAAAATTAAATAACATTACATCATGTTAAATTGTTATTTAGCTGGGATATTTCATCTGTCATCAAGTGACGCCGTGCTTGTGTGTTGCAGCATGGGATGGGAGGATTTTTTTTATTAATGTAGTTTAAACTTTCATTAGAGTTTTCAATATCTCCTTTTTACGGTTTTTGTCAATTATATATCTTGTCTTTTGTCATTTACCACAATAATCTCCACGCAAATGCATTTGGCAATTAAAAATATATCTAATATAACAATCCTAAGAATGTTCTTGTCTTCACAATCGACAGCGCAATATAACATGTATTGCTTTATCGTTTTTAATTTGTGACGTTCGCTTCATTAAGATCGTATCATAGCAATTGGTGTGACGTCACGGCGTTTATATGTTATAATATCATGTATGTGTTGTATGGATATATGATTCATTTTTATATGCTTAACTAAGATATATTTTATTTTCTTTAAACCTGGCACGGTTGTAAAGTGCCTTAGTTGACTTGCCATTAATCAGGGGAGAAATTGTGTCTACAGTTTACGCGACTAGTACACATTTAAATAAAATACTTTAACGGTTTAAAACGCGATATATTCGTTTCTCCTAGTTTCTCTAGTTAGTCTCCCCGCGACCACGGCTCCTGAAAAGCATCCGAAACGTCGGGCCGAAGTTAAAAATCATTTTCAAATAAGTTATAGTTAACTAATATATCGCGTTTTAAACCGTTAAAGTGTTTTATTCAAAAGGGGGGGGACATAGTTTCAATTCCCGGGAAATATGCAAAACTACCGAGGCCGGTATAAACAAAAAAATAATTAAATAAACGTTTAAATACATAAATATAGACTGACTCAGCCAGACGTATCTGTTTATAAAACAGACACAAAAATGTGTTTGCCTCATGCAAACCTCCACATTACATGCATAAAAAATATTACATATTTATTGCACTAAGCTTAATGATATACTATCTAGACTTGAATAATTAATTAAATGATAACTCGATCTAAATGAAACATTTTTAATAGTTTGAAACGTAAAAAATATTAGTTATCTTATTTTAAGTCCGATCTAATGTTTCGAATACAGTACTCGAACCGTAAAATCGTCGGGAAAAGACAAATTTTTTGGTTAAATGACGAATAAAAAACTGCTGTAAAATAGATTTTTAACTGATATATTTCGGGGGAAAAAATGGATGCATTTGCATATTTAAATAGCCTTTAGCATCTCCAGTTCAGACCGTAGACCCGATCGAACAAAACAAACGAATTTTTCGGTCGCCCAGTGCATAAAAGTCTTAATTTCTTTATTCGGTGAGCCATTACACTTCAAACGTAAAGTTAATAATTTATGTACTATTTAAAGCATGTATCTAATTATCGAATAATAATCGAATTTGGGCCCTATTCGAATGATTTTTTTTGTTTTCATCGATCAAAGCATGTCGTGTTTAACCACTGAACTAGACGCGGATACAAATAAGTAATCTATCGTCACACTATAATGGCCTAGTAAGAAATGTGTTTTACTATAATTATTTTACAGGGATTAAAGTATAATACTCGTTGAATGATTGATACATTTTTAGATCGTATCATGTAATTAGGAATTATATAGATAAAATTTGGAAGCAAACGTAATTAAACGGGCCACGTGAACTGCGCTTGATACCTGACGTAGAATTATTTACTTCGGCATCCTACGCGAGAATGTGGCGTATTTTTAATATTAGAGTCGGGCGGAGGACATTTTAACCGAAACCGAATTTCGGTTAACGTTTTATAATATACGCTTTTAGAACAATATAGCGACGGTCTATGTTAGATTGAAGTGTTTTGATTTAAAAGCCAGACGTTCTGGAAACCATTGAGCATTTCGTAGGGCCACAAAAGTCTAATTATTCTTGCTTGTATACAAATTTGGAGCGGGGAACGTACACAGAACGTTATCTGCCCCAAGTCTACACAGAAGTAGAATTGTGCGACGAATAATGTTGGGCATTTTATTTAACCGTGCGACCTGCTAATAGCGATAAGACCGTTCGTTTCACTATGTAGTTTCGTTTTTAATAGGAGTATATCCTATCCATAAAATATATACACAAACTGCGCTGTAACCTATTTTGATTATTCGAAAATCCACAGTCTGAAACCGGAACACGATTTTAATTCACGGCTTTTCATCTGTGAACGTAGTTTGTCACCCGGACGAAGGCTGACATATTTCAGAAAATATGCATTTATTTGAAAAAATATGGTCGCGGTGGGGCCCTAACCATGACCTGTTTCTTAGCATATATTGTTACCATTACTACCATTACACCAACAAGCCTGTCCCTTATTTGTCCGGTTCAAGTTGCAAAATTAAACCGAATATGAACGGTTAAACCGAACACTAGTTACCGTCTCAGCAAACAGCGTTTTGATTACGCGGAAATTCCGTTACCTTAACATTTTAGATTTGTACAGATTCTCAGCAGTTATCACAGGTGGCCTCTTATCATAATCTTTACAATCTCGGCTATGTATCATCATTCATCATCCAGAAATCTTGACGTTGCCTCTGCGAATATGTGCCATTTCGATACCTATCGCTACGCAGGCGCTTACATAACACCTTGCGTAACCGAATCATACCCGTCCCTTAACCGAAATGCCATAACCTTTATCCAATAAATCGTCATTCCACTATCACTAATTGACAATACTAATTTTATAATCTTTGTCATGTTTAGTGAATTTTTGATAATTTCGACAGGTATGGAAACTAAGTATTAAGACGTATTGTGAAGTGATTATTAGTGAATAGTGTGTTGACAATGTGCTCAAACAGTAGTGGGTCGACTTGGTGACGATGTCAGTGAGGTGACGATGGACGAAAGCCTTTAGGCTGTAGTGTTAGTTATACGAAAACATTCCTCTGTTAAAAATTTTAAACCAGGGCCCGGTGGATCAGAGCAAGGATTACTGCAAAATGACCAAGGGCCCTCGGAAAGTGAAACTAGTCATTGTTGTCAACAATAAGAAAGAGTGAGTATCGCTATTTATTATCATGAAAATATTGAATTAAAAATGGTTTTTAAATTGAGAAAATCTTACGACACGCACAGGACTTGAACCGGCTTGTCAGCGTTCCCTGTTGCTGCTCTAACCAATTGAGCTATCGTGTCCTACACGTACGTCATCGTCGAATTTTTTCAAGCTGTAATTTCAAACTGTAAAAGCCCCAAGTTAAAAAAGTTAAGCTTTTAAAATACTTTAACGGTTTAAAACGCGATATATATAAGTTTTATTTATTTAGAAATTATTATAACTACAACCCGAAGTTTCGGATGATTTGGAGCCGCCGTGGTCTCGGGGAGATTAAGATGGAGGGTTTCTTTAATATCGATATAAAACTGCTACGCCGACGCCATCTGTTCCGCCAAATACTGTTTTAAACCGTTTGAGTGTTTTATTTAAATATTTATTTTGTTAACTTTATATTTGATACTTACCTATCTGGTCTGAACCTTTGCGTCTGTATCTTATTAGCGACGCCGGATGCAAGCAATTTTACATCTATTACATCGAGGAATTAAGACGATTTTACGATAAAATTTGCATATAATGGCTTGTGTATTTACGCCTCCATTCATAAACGCGGTTCTCATTGATGTTTAATTGATAATAACGTTTCATTTATTGTTTGCATAGCTATGAAATATTTATGCATTTATTTATTGTCTGTTTTCGACCTATCTGGGCCGTGGCTTGGTCTTTCATCTTTAGATCTCTCTTTGGCTAAATGTTATCAACTTCTGACATTACCTGGAGTTCTGCTCGGCTTTGTCCCATCTCCGTAGTCAGGCAAAGCAATCAGAAGTTCTCAACCTACTCCCAAAATATTACAATTTATATAATTTTATCTCAGCCTTCCCAACATATGCTGGCAATCAGCGCTGATATTCAGCAAAACAAACGGAACACGTGCACACCTCTCATTTTAAGCTAAGAAAAGGCAACTGGAGAATTAATGTTTTTTGTCGTATAACGTTTTCTGGGTATTATTTCTGGTATCTTCAATCTAACAATAATGTTTTATCGTCCATTGTTTTCAAATTTATTTGACTGGCATTTATTATAATAGTTTTAGGATTAAAACAACTGCTATTTTTAGACAAGTGCAAATTGTGTTTTTCGCTCCTTATTTTATAACACTTAAAAAATACTTCATCAATTTGTGGTCTGTTATAATGTATATCTTTACACACATTCCATAGAAACGGCTTTTAACATATGTAGAAAGTAGGTCTATCAAATTCTAAAATGATATCTTAAACATAATTATTTTGCACTTGACATTTTTGCTATGCAGCTAGAAAAGTATTTAATTAAAACACTTAACTACGACCCAACCCGCCTATTTAGCGTTTTGAACGGTAACAAATGTTTTTTTATAATGTGTACTACTCGCGTAAACTATATACATTTCCTATAAACTATAGACTTTCCCCAACTTCACTGGTGGCAGAAATGGTCATCTTATTATACAGCATTAGAAAAACTTGTATTTGAATTATGACTACGGCCAGACGTAATATATTTCGCGTTTTAAGCACAAACAGTGTATTGAAATGGAGGGATATTCAAAAGGATTTGTCTGTCTCTTAGAAAAATATTGTTTCAATACTGTCTGTAGTTTACGCTAGTAGTACACATTTAAATAAAACTTTAACGGTTTAAAACGCGTTATATATTACTTAAACTTATTTGAAAATTAATGATCTCCCCGTGACCACGGCTTCTGCAAAGCATCCGTCGGACCGTAGTTCTAATTAAATTAAGTTTAACTTGTATATACGTATCGCGTTTTAAACCGTTCGAGTGTTTTATTAAAATGTACTGTTGCCCAAGTTCACTTGTGGCCTGTAATGTTCATCTTACTATACAGCAGTGTTAATTTAGTGTCAACATTGACCACTGGTTCGACGCGGAAGTACGAATGGGTCAGTCTCACGCAATCCGCAGTCCTTGGCAATAGGAAGAGGCTCATTTGCCGGCTGGATGGAAGGCCGCAATGGATGGAGATTATGTCTCGTCATCATCTTGCAACGCTTTATTACTTTATAATCTATGGTGATGTGTCAAATGCGTACCATAGATTATAATAGTATAATAAACTATTAACCTGTTACTAGCTGTGTCAGTGAATTCCTTCGCGTAGTATAGTTATTTTGGACATCGGAATTTGTTTTTGCAAACTTCCTCCGTGCCGTCTTGCTAAGTTAATCTTAAAAGATAAACCCAAATAGTTTATATTTGGGTCATTTTCAGATCATTTAAAGAAGCCAAAGCCAAACTGGGTCGGCAGCGCATTTTGTTTAGGTGCTATAGGTTCGGGTGTGTCACCTACCCTCAAGTGAACCCAATACCTGTCCGTCCACCTCTATCATAATAAAGATATGGTGTATTTTTTCTTACTTGGCATTTTTGGTAAATTTACTCTAAAAACACTTTGAGACGCTGGGCTTTATATTGTCTTACTAACTGGGATATAAGCAAAGTCAACGACATTAGGAGGTAGATGTCCCACGATGTCGAGAGAAATAATAATGACTTAAAAAAATAAGTAAGAAAATATTACACTTTAACGGTTTAAAACGCGATATATTAGTTAAACTTATTCAGCCCTACATCCAGCATTGCAGCGGCCGTGATCTTCCCGTGACCACGGCTGCTGCAAAGCATCCGAAACGTCGGGCCGAAGTTAAAAATCATTTTCAAATAAATTAATATATCGCGTTTTAAACGGTTAAACTGTTTTATTTAAAAGAAAATATTATTCATAAACTTTTATCAGTCCATTTGGATATTTCTTTAAACCTATCTCATCTATGGCAATGACTATAAAAGGCCATAACTAAATCTCTATGGTTTGAAATTGGCCATATCTTTTGCCAAGTTAGAAAAAATACGCTATACAGTATCATACATTTTACGACACGTTTAACAAGAACGCATGCCTCAATGATCAATCAGACGACGACGGTCTATAAGCATGAATCATATTCAGTTTTCAAACCGCTTTTCGTTTATAATCATTAGAGGGTTAATTGTCTTAACCCTTCACTGAGAAGCTACGCTCCAGCGTTCCATGAAGATGAGACGTGGTATACTTATTTGAATGATACGAAAACTTTAAGATCTATTAAATAAAAGATCTATAAGTGATAGATGGATCAGCACTTTTTTATTTTCTGATAGAGGTGGAATGATAAGATCGGGGTTGTGTATGGTGAGCCATATAACATTTTGACAACATCTTATATTGAGTTGATTTTTTTTTAGATTAAGCTTTCATTATGTATTTATTTGAAATAAATAAAAACAAACACATGCGGGGTCGATCTCTTTGGTTTTGGATATTCAGAAATCCACAGACTGTAACTAAAGCTCTAATTAACTTGACAATCTCCATCAGTAGGACGGTGGTTCGTGACTTCGACGGAATTTAAACATTCATTTTGTGTGTTCCCTTTCCCCCTCGTGGGGCGTGGGGCGAACATTTCTGTGTCCGTTTCACAGATCCGTTCTTTTTTTAGGCAAGTAGTTGTTCAGACTTCTGTGCCCTACCCGACCGGAACAACTTTTTTTTGTTCCTCTGAGACTCGAACCCAGGACCTATTGCGCATAACGCAATGCTAGGCAATACGTTTAACCATTTGGTTACAGAGGCGGCGATATTCATTTTAATTATGTATTAAAATAATAAATTAATCTGAAACATGTTAGGCCCAGTGGGGACCAAACCCGTGGATTGTTCGCCACACATTGCTATCATAAGACCAACATGCCCGTCAAGTTTAATTCTTTCTTTTGCTTAACAATATTAAATTAAATAAAATTCTTCATCATTTTTTGAGTTTGGCTTCATGACTGCGGTTTCACTTACAATCGTTTAAAATACAAATGTTATGTGAATTGTACCCTATTTAAAATTGAGTCAATAATGATAACCGGAAGCGCTCTGAAATAGTCACTAAGCAAGTGCTTATTATCTCCCACTGAAAACCTTGTGCGTTTCCACGGTTAAATGTACCGGATGGATTCGTGAGAACTAATTTCCTTTATTTCCAAAATTATTTATTGTTCACACTTATTTTTTTTTTCAACCTACACTTGCAGCATAGTGTCCGTTTTCGTAGGTGACCCACCACGCAACTCCATTGCTGGTTGGTGGGTTTTATATTTGTAAAAAATAATTAACATATACGCGCACAATAAAATGACAATTATGAATTAAATGGTATTTGCTTATCGTAAGGAAAATAAGTAAAAATAACGTGCTCCAAAAGCCAACAAAAAAAAACTTAAATTAAACGTATGGTACTAATATCGAACTCCGAGACCCACTATGCCTAGCTGGTAAAGAGTAGAATGTGTAGTGCCATCATGTGCAATAACATGAAAACAATATTAAAGTTTTATTTCGTTATTTACTATACAAATGCTTACTTATTTGATAACGTGATTATTTTCAGACTTAATTATTATACATGATGGTATTACAAAAATGAAACAGGTGTAGGACACGGTAGCTCAATTGGTTTTAGCAACAGCGAGGTGGATACCGTTACAAGACCCTCCCGTAAAATTTTGTTTCATAATTCTAGTTAATAAAGACGTATTTATGACATGTGACTCGTACTGTTTGTGTCCGATTCGTCGAAAGCAAATCAAAATATTATTTTATGACCGCCAATAAATGATTACGTTCAATTAATTAATCAGTACGATAGTGTTATCGGAGCTATCCTGCTTGACTGATTTTAGGGTGTAGAGGAAAAATACTACAGTTTTTTTTTTTTCATTTTATAACAGCTTCTTTTCAGGAAGCCATTACGATTTTGTTTCTTCAGAAGACATAATTTCAATTTAGCCTTGACTAACTCTAGCGATAGATTTATATAAAACAATTTTAACGGTTTAAAACGCGAAATCTAACTTATTTTTAATTCCGGATGCTTTGCAGCAACTTTGGTGGTACT